AAATGACCTCATTTTTGTTTGTTTTGTTTTTCATTTCTTTCCTCACTGAAGTCAACTTACTTTAGATAGATGTCCAATAAGTCACTCACCAAAAAGCTGATGCCTGTGCCCAGGCAGGTGAGCAAAAAGCAGGACTGGGGACTTACATTTCCAGTTTACTTATCTTGACAGTTAAGAGGGGCGTTTCTGCAGCCATAAGCTGGGACTAAGAATGCCAGCCTTCCAGTGCCCCAAACTGGAAATAATGCATACCTCCATGGCAGACAGTAAATGCTCCACGAACGGCAGCTGTTCAATAATGCCTGCAACTACCATGGCTCGCAGAGGCGACACCTGAAAGCCCCTAAAGGAACATTTCATTTCCTTACTCATTTCTTTCTCCAAACAGGAACGACTTGTCTTCAGCCAGCCTTCCAAAGACAGCTTTCCAAAAGGAGTCGTATAGGAACTTAAACTTGTTATTCTTAGTACCTATTTGGAAACAATCCCTCCAGATGACGGGGGTAAATGAATATGATGAAAGGCAAACCAACTGCCTGCTGTAAGAGCACTCAAACAGCCCTCCTTCTCGGAAGAGTAAATGCAATATTCTGGGTTCATTCACCAAGACTGATAAGAATTCTTATCAACGGGCAAAGAAATACATAGTGATATTAGCACTTTAAAACGATGAAGAAAATAGAAACCACCCAACCTCTTAATCTTTTTAGGTTTGGTAATTTAGACACCTGAAATGGATTCATGTACCAACATCCAGCTGTTGTGAAAACTGCAGCCAATCAAATCCTAGTTTTCCCTAATTTAGGGTTTTCCCTAAAAACTCTAATTTACATACACCATGTACTATTTCAGATATTAATCTCACTTCTCTTCTTTGATTTTAGAATACCTGAAGGGAGAAAGTGTATCTTCTTCCCCAACTCTCAAAGCAACTTATCCCAGGGCAGGCTGGCTCCAGGAGATGAGAGTGACTGTGCCGGTGAAACAGGGTCAGCAGCACTGAGACAGAAGACTCCAAAATCCGAGTGTGAACCCGAGACCTACTTCTAGAGCAGCCTGTGCAGCTGGAACAGGTGCCAGACTGAGTAGAAGATACCTAGACGGTCCACGGCTGGCTCTCCTCCACAGTCAAAGGTCTGCCTTCACGGAAAACAAGAAGCCAACTCTAGAATGGAATGAGCACATGCTGGAGAGAGCCAAACAACCCTTAATCCCTTCATAGCACTGTCCGAAGTGCGTGCAACTACGCCCCTCAACGACAGGTGCAACCTTCAGGTGAGCTTAGACGCTTCTGCGCTCCAGTATTCAGGGGCCCTGTCGGTGCAGAATTCCTGGAACTATCTCAAGCCTGCCCTACAATGGTGGGAAAATTAGGCTCAGCGCAGCTGTGCAAGGCCTGAAACCTGCAACATAAGAGTGACTGCTCCCATTTCTATGCCCCAGTGCCCTCCCCAATAAAAACACAAGCTTTTATAACAAGGAAAGTAACAAAGGCAGATACATTGAAGCATTCGGCTCTATTTTAGGCTTCCAGTAAAATGTCTTCACTTTTCTTTTTTTCTCAGGGCAGATGGAAAGAAGTGGTCTGCTGGAGGACAGCAGTCACACTAACCAAAATTAACCAACCAGGACTCCAAGACAGTGAGAGGAGGTGATCCTCCAGAACCCCAGTCACAGAGGCAGAGAGCAAAGCCCCTTCCATTTCATTACGGTCAAATAAAATGTATTAACACCAAGATGTATGTGCCCCCTTTATCAAGAGAGGGCAACTATATCCCCATTTTAATCAAGTATGAACCCGTCAGTGCTATTCCAGCCAGTCCCAAACATGTTTTGGCTCACAGCTAAGGCCCTAAAGAGTTATCACATCAGCCCTGGTTGGTGTGGCTCAGTGCACTGAGTGCCCGTGAAGTGAAAGGTCACCGGTTTGATTCCCAGTCAGGGCACATGCCTGGGTTGCAGGCCAGGTCCCCATTTGGGAGTGTGAGAGGCAACCTATCAGTGTATCTCACACATAGCTGTTTCTCTCCCTCGCTTTCTCCCTCCCTTCTCCTTTCTCTAAAAATAAATAAATTAAAAAATTTAAAAATGTATCAAGTCAAAGCCACTCAAATAAAGCCAATTACTCTTTGGTTACTCCTTGAATAATCAATAGAAGAAAAGCACTGCCTCCTTTTTTCTAACAGCACTTAACACAAGGCAATGTCCCTCACGGCCCTCCCCTTTACTCAGCACTTCACAGAATTATGAGACAAAGGGCAACTACTGTACCATCACTTTTTTTTTTTTTTGGAGTAAAGCCACAAGATTACTAACAAACAGCCAATGGCCACTATTCAGAGGCAATAACGGCCTTGTGACTTCATATGCCAGTTATCTACCAAACTGGGAAGAACCAAGTATACTTATGTTTCTCTCTGCAAAGAAAATCTGAAATTAAATGGGATTTTCTTTCCCATCATGAACATTTCTGGGGGAATAATGTTAAACAGTATCAATTTCTCTAATTATAGGGTGGGAAAGAAGAGTTTTTACACTTGTTGAACAGGTAACCAATTTAGGTTGGAGAACTTATAAAATGTTCATGGTGTAGGAAAAACTTCAGTGATAGTAAACAGGGAAAGTTCTTGTCTAAAAATTGTCTTAAAATAGTCCTCAAGTCCCTCGTTTTTGTTTTACCTTGTTGCTTTAGTGCTAAATATGCAACAGGATAAACTTAGAGAAAGACAGGAACCACCAGGCTTCGTTCTAGTTTTCAGGGTAAGTTTAATAGAGAAATTGGTTTGTACTTAAACAAACAACCCCCCCCCCCGCCAGAAAACAAAAAAAGTTGGCTCCAAAGGGTTTTTTGTACAGGCTACAAATGCGAGTACTTGAGCAGTCGATCTTATGGTATCATAGTGGTGGATTATCTGCTGAAAACAGTAATCACTTATGAAAACATCAAACTACCTCCTCTGTACATAATGACAGAGTCATTTAGCAGTCTGTTACCTTTGCTCTCTAGTAGAACAGACCCAGAAGACCAGTCACTCTATTACCTACAGCTGGTTCTGTTTGCTTTCTGGCCATTTAGTGCTGACTTTGAGAATACCCTCAAAAAGCTGAGCATCACATTAATAGCTTTGAATAGAACCCACATTTTCCTTTTCCTTAAAGGGTTCTTCAATATCACCTTCTATGAAGTAAAATCTACACACCGAACAGTAAACTACTATGCAGTAACATCAGAAAACTCTATGCCTCTGGCAATGGCAGGAAAACAGTAACTCCCCACAGATCTACATAACTTAAAAAGTTTTTTTTAAGTGTTTTTTTTAAAGATTTTATTTATTTATCTTTAGAGGGGAAGGGAAGGAGAGAGGGAGAGAAATATCAATGTATGGTTGCCTCTCATGCATCCCCTGCCAGGAACCAGCCTGCAGGGAACTGGCCTGCAACCCAGGCATGTGCCCTGACTGGGAATCGAACCGCGATTGTCTGGTTCGCAGGCCCGCGCTCAATCCACTGAGCTACACCAGCCAGGGCAAAAAGTTTTTTTTTTTTAAGAGAGAGTGAAGGTAGGGTAGTGAGAGACAGAGACAGACAGACACCGAATTTTGTCATTCCACCTATTTATGCAGTCATTGGTTGACTCCTGTATGTGCCCAGACTGATGATCAAAGCTATAACCATGGCATATCCAGATGATGTTCCAACCAACTGAACTACCCAACCAGAGCAAACCTAGTCCTTTTAAAAAAGACCAACCTGACTGATGTGGCTCAGCTGGGCATCATCTTGCAAAGCAAAAGGCCTCCCATGGATTCCCTGTTAGGACACAAGTCTGGGGCAGAGGGTTCAGCCTGGTTGGGGCACATACAAGAGGCAACCCACTGATGTTTCCCCTCCCCCCCCCACTGTTTCCCTTCTCTCTAAAAATAAATAAACCTTCAAAAAGTAAAAATAATAAAAAGGACCCTATTTCTAAATTTCCACTTTCTTCCTCTTTGTAAAATTCTAATAATTTCACTCGGGGATAGTCAACAAATGGTGGCAAATTCCAGCATTTGACTGTGGCTCAAAGAAATGTTAAAACTTGAGACACAGTGAAAATGCAAACACTCAAGTTCAAGTTTTCCTCATTTAGAGTTGACACTATCCAGTAACACCCACCCTTGTAAAAAAAATAAATTACATCTCCAAAAGGGCAAACTGCTCCAGTCAATTGGGTAAACAACATAATTAACATGTGCCAGGTGGAAAGTGAGTATTCATGTAAATAGTGGGGCTCAAAATGGGCTGCAAACTGGAAAGCAGCTTATTGTTTTCTGAACTGTCAGCAGGACTCTTCTGTGCAATTAGAGTTTAATATGCGGTGATTGCTCCTCAGGTTTCTTCTAGGAAAATAAAAATCTGACTGGTACAACAGCAAACAGAACCGTATTATTTAGAACTCCTTTAGTTTTTTTCAAAAAAAAAAATATGCTGACTTCTTTAATGAGTTTTAGCATGTATTTCTAACTACTACCTCTCTAAACTAGGGAAAATTAATTTCTAACCAACTGGGATCACGTTCCAGAATGCAAAAATAACTTTTGACTATATACAATAAGACTAATTGAGTGCTTTTACATAAATCCTTCAAGTTTAGGTCTTTCAAAACATCCTCTAATTTTTTAATAAAAACTCTTTAAGGCAAAGCAACCTACTCTTACACACACACATCCTTACTACAGTCACATTGCTTTGCCTTTACTTGAAACAGTACCCATATCAACAAGCAAAAAGAAATACTCAAGGCATTCACACAAAGGCAATTAAAGACCATACATCACACACCATCCTCTTAAGTCATCGTTAATATTCTACTCAGCGTCCACCTCCGCTGTCCAGATCATACACGACTGTGAAAAGTGGGCGACAAGAAAAGGAACGTGGCTTCTTTGTGTGTTATCCAGGCAAAGGGTAGGTGAGTCCAAGGAGAGTCCGTCCAGCATTTGCTTGGCATCAACGCTTACCTTGAGGATGTCCCCCCTTTTGAAGCTCAGCTCGTCGTCTGCAGTGGCTTTGAAGTCATATTTGGCGATGGCTTCCATTCTGAGCGCTGCTCAGTGCTCAGCAGGCTGAAGCAGGGGGAAGGGAGTCTTCCCTGCTGAAGCAACCCAGCGCTCTGGGCTCAGCCTTGCCTCTCTTCTGGGACCGGCTCCTGCACTCCGGGACACACAATGCCACCTTGAATCAGAAGAGGGATGATTGAGAGAAGTGGCCAGGATCGAAGGCAGCCCCGCCCTGCCAATCGGCCAGTAGTCCCAGCCCCCACGCCCCCTGGCTCGGCTGGCTCAACCCTCCTCCCTCCCTTCCAGGCAAGAGCCCCATCTCCTTCCTCTTTTCTGCCTCAGGCTCAGACAACTGACAGGCCCGCCGGCCAATGGTGGCAGTTGCTCAAGCTATTCCAGAACACACTTCCTCTTCCTTCCCGCTGGGTGTGCGAGGTATGCAGGAACCGGCTGGAGTCCGTTCGGTCTCCGCCTTTCCTCCCTCACCCCTCATACTCTCTTCTCCAGGCTCCAGTCCGCTGAAAGGAGGCCTCCCCCTGGGGACGTCCTCCTGCTTTTCTCAGTTAAATGGGCCTATTTCTCGCCTTTCCCCCTGGCAACCTTTCTGCTTTCCGGAATATCCTGGGTTCCCTACCCACAGTCAAAAGCAAGCAAGCAATGCATGCTTTGGTCCTGAGCTGCTTCTAATTCCCAGAAACCAAGCCCTGGTCTGCTCCCAGGAAAGTAGGAGAAAGTGAACACAGGATCTTCTTTTTAATTCAATTTACCACTTGAGCACAGGACACCAGAGAAGAAGGTCTGGCTCAGCCTTTTGGTGGTAGATCTGCTGTTCTTGCAGAAGGCCTCCCCCCTGCAGATCCCCAAGAGCCCTCGAAATAGATGTCCAAGGTTCAGTATTCCAGAAGCAGCCTCTACATTATTTGTAAGTAGCCTAAGGAACAAAGCCAAAATCCTAATACACTTAACGAGGAATCCCCTTTTCAGAATCTGAGCTGCCAGACCCTGTGTCTGGGGAAACAAAGTGCAGGGAGAGATGGTGGCAGAGTCCGACATAAGTCTCTCACAGTCAGTTGAGAACAGCTGCTGTGCTCAGAGACAGAGGGTTACTAACTGAAGTGATCCCCTCTGCAGGGGATCCCCTCTGCAGGTGAAGAGTCTGTAATAAACCTCCCGCAGTGGACCAGGTGATGGGGAACTACAGACAACCACTGCCGTGGTAGAGTCCCCAGCCCTGAATACGAGACATAACCCAGACCTTTGCGGAATGAAAGGAAAATAAAGCTCCATTCTTGTTTCACCAGTCACTGTTTTTATAGAGGCTAAAAAAAAGCAGCAAACAACACAAACACTGGCAGAATGGGGACAGATTATTTTTAGTGACAATCTTCTTGGATAATTACCATCTAGCAGAGAACTCATTTGAAGGGCACGAGTGATTATTATCCTTTTGTTCTAAAGTTAACAAGTGGGGCAGCATTAATCAAGCATAACTGCAAATGGACTAAGCAATAAACCAGCGAGAGTATTAAGATTAGAGGAAAATGACCTGGTTGGTGTGGCTCAATGGAGCACGGGTCTCCATTGTGAGCCTAAGGGTCACCGGTTCAATTCCCAGTCAGGGCACAAGCCTGGGTTGCAGGCCAAGTTAGACCCCCCAGTGGGGAGCGTATAAAGAGGCAACCACACATTGATGTTTCTATTCCTCGCTTTCCCCTCCCTTCCCCTCTCTAAAAATAAATAAATATTTAAAACTTTAGAGGAAATGAGTATTATCAAGAAGTAAATCATCCGGTAATAAAGACTCCTTCAATCAAATTCTAAAAGCCAAACATTTTACTGCAGGTAAACTAATAAACCAAACCAATGTTTACTCTGTCAGGCCAGACCTAGGATATCCTATGTGGCACTGGCCCAGAAAGAGAAAAGTAAAGAAAGTGTTCTAGGAAATATAAAAAAATACAAAGATTAGTCTCAGAGTACTTATATTTTTGTGTGTCCTCAAAAACCCCTTACTTCTACCTTCCATAGCTTACTTCTTCAAACTAATCCAAGTGTACAACTCTGAAAGTCAGAGCACTGGAAAGTTTATGAAAAGAGCAGTTCCCTATCCCAACACCCATATGCAATCACCTTCAATCTTGTTTTTAGCTTTCTCTTTTTATTCACTTACAATACTTTAATCATATGTTCCTGTTGCCATTCCTGTTATTTATTCCATCCATCCTCTACCTCCTGAAAGGTGAGGACCTAACTCCCACCCCTGCCAACTTCCCCTTGCCCCATCCCGGTAGTACCACATATTCTGGTTTAGAAGCATTACAACATCAAATATTGTTCACTGGTGATTTAAATAATGTATTACAACCAACCTTCCTTCCTTTCCAGTACAATCCTTCAATTTTTCCCAGCATTAACAACTGCTTTTCCTGTTTTGCTTGCTTCCCAATGTACGCACCTGTTTTTAATTGTTTACAAACGCACCCGAGTCTCTGCTACACGCGTCTCAGTATTTTCCACAGACCTGACCACGTATTTTAATGGGTCTCCAGGTCTGATTGTTGAGACTCTATCAATGATGGGCAGCTGAAGAATTAAGCATATCTAAACAAACAACCAAACAAAGACTTTCATTTTGAAAAAGGAAATCTGACAAACTGAGAACACTGTCAAGGTACTATGTAGTAACAGGGCTTGTGTCTGTTATTCAGGATTTCAGGCAACCACTGAACAGCCATAGCACAAAAACCAAGGCACTTTTCAACATTGTTTTTGTTCTTGAAAATCATGTTTCAAGTGACTATTGCTTTTCAAAATATAGTGTGAAAGTAATAAAAACCAAGAATAAGTAATACTTTCATGCCTGTGCCAAAGAGCATCTCATGGAGAAAACTTGAAGACGTCAGCTTATTGGGCTATCCACTGAAAAGAGTGTGCAGGCCAAAGGAATTCAAAAGGGTGTGTTTCATTATAGACAGGAAAAGAATCTATCACATATGCAACACTAGTCACTCAAAGAACTCTGAAAGGGAATGCAATGCATAATGATTTCAATAGAGTAGATGTTGCTGTTCATTTCCCAAGACAATGGGCTGGGAGCACACTCAACACTGAAGCCTAATGAGAGGATGTCTCAGCTGTTCCCAGGACACACCTCCGCAGCCCATCCCAAGCAGTGAATTTTAAAAGTGCAGCTTGAATTGTTTATTTCAAGCAGTATGTATTATTCCTAAAATGCAATCTCCTAAAGGTATTAGTAGGGTTTTATTTTCTTTCTTCCATTTAACTCCCTTCCTGAAATTCACAGAAGTAAAAGACATGACACTTACTGGGCCAGCACAGTTTAGCATTAAGTCTGCCCTGTCTCGGAAGGCAGGCTGATGATCCAGGGTTCAGGCATTCCCCCAGTGCTGACCAACTACAATTTTGGGCAAGCCTTTTAAACAAGCCCAGGTTTTCTCATTTGTAAAATGGGGGTGATATCACCTACTTTATAAGATTCACTGAGCATTAAATCAGGTAATATAGATACTATACACAAAGTGCTTTGGACAGAACCTGATGTTAACTCAGTGACAATAAGGTAAAATGTGACTCTATTTAAAACATACAAGACATTCAACTTTGCTACTAAAAACGTGCAAATCAAGACAAGATTTCTTTCATCCACTAACTGGCAAATTTTAAATGTATTTACAATATTCAGTCTCTGCAATATGGTGGGTAAAATAACTATGACTCTTTATCCTATCCAATGTTTACTCATGTAACATTCTGGGCAGCTAATGTACACCTGACAACGTGGCTGGTCCTGGATGATAATACTGGGTTGGCCGAAAGTCTGCTGTTGTTTTTTTTTTTTTACATACGATGGCTCTATTAGTGCCTAGCTGTCTTTAACTACATCCCAAACAATTCTGTTAGGTTGTACTGTGACAACTGTCATTATTGGCATGCATTTAAAAGAAGACATCAAAATCGGTGATTTTTGTATAGCCATTTTAATATTAACAATGAAAGATGCAACATTTTTGGTGTATGTTTTAGTATTTCAAGAAAAGGTAAAAATGCAACTGAAACACACACACAAAGACTGGCGTAGTATATGGTGAAGGTGCTGTGACTGATTAAATGTGTCAAAAGTGGTTTGTGAAGTTTCTTGGTACTACTGACATTTTGGCCAAAAAATTCCTTGCTGTGGGCTGTCTTGTGCACTGGAAGATGTTTAGCAGGGCCCTGCCCTCTGCCCACTAGGAGCCAGCAGCGGGAGACAGCCGACATACTCAAAATATCCAAATCAACAGTTATTGGTAAAAATGAAAAATGTGTCTTTAATTTTACAGAAAAGACTAAATGAATTTTTTTTGTCTAACCCAATAATAAAATCATCACAGAGCCCACACATTAGCAGGGAATTAATTCAATCTTTTTTGAGAGTAATTTTATGGTATCTATTGACAATTTATCTACTTCCCAGATAACTTACTGAAAATGTGACACAAATACCACGTACAAAATGCATATATACCTGATCAATATTCATGAGCATACCTATGGAGTATCTACATAAGTACCAAGGTATACCATTAATTTTTAAATAGTGAAGAAAAATGACAGTGTATGCTATTTCTACAGAGCAAAATAACTTATAGTGTGACTAAAGAAAAAATGTGAAAAGTTCACAATGGTTATCTCTGGGAGTGAGATCACAGAATATTTTACTTTCTACTCTGTATATCTCAATTGTATTTTCAGTTTTTACTATAAGCATTTATTACTTTTGTAAAAAACAAAAATCAAAATCTTACCGATGCTCTGGAGTTAGATCCAGATTCGACTGCCACTTCATCACTTATTAACTGTATGGGTAACACTGAAGAAATAAATTGTATTCCGTAATTCCACCCTGGCTGGGGTGGCTCACTGGATTGAGCACCCGCCTGCCAACCAAAGGGTCGCAGGCTGGATTCCCAGTCTAGGGCACATGCCTTGATTGAAGCCAGATTCCCCAGTAGGGGGCGCACGAGAGGCAACCACGCACTGATGCTTCTCTCCCTCTCTTTCTCCTTCACTTCTCCTCTCTCTGAAAATTAAATGAATAAAATCTTAATCCCTAGTAACCCCCCTAGTAACCTCAGCTGGAAAATGGAACTAATGACAGCATCTACCTCATAAGGCTGTTTTGATTACTGAAAGAGACAGCACTTGCAAAGGCGTCAGCAGAGTCTCTGGCATAAGGCGTTAGGCAGCAACACCAGTGCCTTCTGAATTTTTAGTCCACCTGCTTTCACAGTGAATGTATAACGTCCACCTACATAGAGACCCTCTGGTAGGCACATTAACAGTCCTGTTAAGTATTAAACTTAAATTGCTCCACATCACAGTCCTAACAAAGCTCAAATACTTACACATAAAAAACTAATCACATCTGTAGTCACTTATTCTATTAGGCTTTTAAATATTTACTCTGAAAACACAGAAAAGTGTAATTGTAAGTTGAGTAATTTAAAGATACCCTCCAGTCTCATTGTTTTATGGCTGTATCTGTAACCAGAGTTCTGGTCCTTGGACCAGGAGCTCCAAAATCACCCCATTCAGAGACTGACTCACTGTGGGTGTCTTCCGGGCCTTATGCCCAGAACCTATTTTAAATAAGATCACAGGTAATTCCTGCACCTGTTACGCTTTAAGAATCACTTCTGTACTGTAAGGGTGCCTTAACCAGATCTTAAACTTTACATTCCAGATAACGCACTAGAACACCTTTGCATAAAATAAAAAGCATGCATATTCACTTGTCATAACTGGAAAAAGCCCACTTTGACAAAGAAAACCAGAGACTCAGCAGTGACAGAAAGTTACAAATTAAGCAAGTAACTATTAAACCTCTCTCAGGAGAGCAGGGTGGATCTCTATTCTGTATTAATGCATTTCTCTGAAATCTATTACTCTTTTGCTCTAGGTAACAATCACAGCTGCGGCTGCACAACAAGCAACATGGTAACAGGAACTACTGAGAAAACTCTCTTAAGTCCCATCGAACAGTACTATTTAAAACCTCCTAATCCCTCACATCTGAATACCCTTGCCGAGGAAGCGAACAGCCTCAAGCCTTTAAATGCCTGCTTATTCCTGCTTTTAGTATCAAAGACAGCTGATTACAAGAATTAAGTTCTTTTTTTATTTTGGAATTCAGAAAATTTTGAAAAAGGGAAGGGGCAGCAGAACAAATAAAGTTTTTCTCTTATTGTCAAAAAAGCCCCAACAACAATAACAAAGAAGGCTGACTCTAACAGATGTAAGAAAAGATGCCTGACTGTTAAAAGCTGGATGAAGAACATGTGAAATTAATATGACATTGTACGTTAACTACTATTTTAAAATAAATTTCAAAATTAAAAACTTTAAAAGCCTGGTACAAAAGCTTACACCATGGGCAAGCTTTAATTGGTCAAAGATATAAATAAACTCTATTCCCTTGAGTGTTTCATCTTATGTTAATTCCATTTTAACACAAGTCTATGGTTGGTTTTCTTTTTTTTTTTTTTTTTACCTTAACCACCCACCCCCATTAAAAGCCAGAAAGAAGCCGCACCAGCCCCAGATTGGCCCCATCTTCCTCACTAATATAAAAGAGACATAGGAAGAAAAGCGTAAGCAGGCACAAAAGCATGACCTTAAAATGAGGAAAACAGGCAAAACACAAGTGAGACAAGCAGCTACACCTGCAGCCTGGTGGCAGTGTTGATTACTTACAGTGACTTCAACCCTCTGAGCCTCCCAGTTGCCAGCGGGGAACTAAAGTCCCGCAGGGCCCTCAGGCAACCCTTCTGGCTGCCCGAAGGAACACAGTGGACCCTGGAAAAGTAAAGGATAAGGCAGCAAAGAGGGTACCTTCCCGGGAGAGATAATGGAATCTTTAAAGGAGGGAGAAAACAAACTGCACAAGGTGCAGAAACCTCAAAAAATTATGCCAGAGAGGGGACAATAAGAAAGAAGGGGAAGTAGATTAGGAAAAAAAGTGGGGGAGGGGGGCAAATGACTTGCATTACACAAGCCAGCATGTAGTGTCCGCAGTGGAACCGAGAGAAGTAGATAGAAAGGGAAGGCAGCCACTGGAGAAGCTCAGAGTGACAAGGGGACGAGAAAGCCAGAGGGGACGAATGCCAATTTCTCTCGTTCCTCTCGCGCGTCTTCTCAGCTCCCTCCTGAGAGCCAAAAGCGCCGGCGGACCACGAGCGCGAGCGCACTTCAGCTGCTCTGCAGACCGTCCTGTATTTGCACTGTCAATTTCGCAGCATCGGAAGCCAGCCTGGAACACCTCCCTCACCGAGCTGTAACTCGCGCGGCTTACAGTCGCGTACGAAGAGCGTTACCGACGACCAACACCAGTGCTTCTCCTTCCTCTCTCACTACAATCTATCCTCAGAACATTCCAGCCACCAATGCTGCTGATGTTTCTTGACAAATATTTTTCAGAGAAGTTCGAAAGCGGGGGGGGGGGGGGGGCGGGGGCGGGGAGGAGACAGAAGTAAAGGCATCTCAACTGGCTCTGGCAGCAACTGTTGTAACTCACGGTATTTACAGGGTTGTTGGGCCCCCTCCCGACATTCGGCCCCAAGACACCAGGAGATGGTGAGGTGGTGGTAGCCGTGCAGGTCGAAGAAACCACGATTTGCAGCCCACGGCGAATCCCCCGCCTCCCGACCAAGTCAGACTGACTCACAGAGAGTGCCCCGCGCTCTCGGGCTCCTTCCGGGCTCCCTCTGCGCCAACCCTCCTGAAGAACCAGGAGCCCCCCGGCCTCTCGTCCTGGGGTCCAGGGCTCTGTCCCGAGTCAAGGGCCGGGAGAGAACGGTTCCCACGAAGAAAGCGAACCAAATGAAGAAACGTGGAGCCCGGAGTCCCGGGGACTCCGCTCCTGCCCCGAGCCCCGCCGGCCCGCCCCCCAGGACCGGCGGCCCACGGGAGGCTGGGCCGGGTCACTGAAGGCCGACTCCCGCTACGGACGGAGGAGGAAGAAGAACCGGAGCAGCAGCGCCGCCGCTGCCGTCCCCACTCACCGTGGCGCAGCTGCTCCACTCCACTCCCGGTCGGCCCCTCCACAGCGGTGCGAGTGGCCGCCGACCCCGATGCTGTTCCCCTAAGGCAGCACCTACTCCTGCTGCTGTCACCGCCACAATCTTCTTCGCCGCCGCCCGGTCGCTGAAGCAGCACAGCCGCCTGGCTTCCGCTCCTCGTCAGGGTCCCGCGAGAACTTCCCCGCCTCCCCCCCCCCCCCGCGAGACTTCCCCCGGCGGAAAAGGTCCAGAGCGCAAGCGCTGCTCCTCCGCCCGGCCCCAGCAGGTAGACCTTCTAGATACCAATGCGCGTGCGCCAGGCCGCCCCGCAGCAGGTGGCACCCGCAAGGCTCCGCCCCCGAGTCGCCATAACCCAGTCGGTACCAGAGCGGTTAAAGTTTAGCGCAACGCTGGAGCAGGAAGTTCCCGCACACACGAATCACTTCCCTTACCCTTCCAAGGCAAACCAAGGCAACTGGGGAATCAGGGAGGGGGATGAGGAGGGGAGTAATCTCCCTCCAGCACGAAGCACCGCAAGTAGCGGACCACATCTTGAAATATTTGAGCATCTGGTCCAAACAAACTCTGCTGTGTTAGATGAGTTACACTAACACTCATTTGTTCATTAATTGAATTAAGTGCCTAATATGTACTAAGCACTGTGCTAGCTATATTGTAAAAGGTACAAAAACGAGCAAAAATCCAGACCCTTAGGGGATTCACGGTCTAGAGGAGTGGAAGAAGACTAAATAAATAATGCCACAAGCATTGCTGTTAGAACTTCTTGGGGGAAATTGCTGAGGAAGCTAGAGGGATGGGAGGAGGGGTCGGGCGTCGCTACTCTGCCCATCTTAGAAAAGCCTTCCCGGAGACGGTAATGTGTTGATGTGTTGGAGAATGAGGAGGAGTTCGCCAGACCGAGAATCGGGGGTGAGGACGGTATAGACAAAGGGAACGGCAGCAGATACGAAGGAACGGAGGTGTGAGAGAGTCGTGTTCTGGGTAAAGCTAAATAAATAGTTTGATTCCTGTTCTAGGCGGAGTGAGTACGGGGGAGTGACAAAAGGTTGAGGTTTGGAGAAGTACTGGTAACTCCTATTTTTCAGTTCCAAATCTCTTTCCAATTAAAGGAGAGAGCAGGACCCATCTAATGCTAATGTGCTGTCCGAAAGCCAACAAAATAGCTTCAAGTTGAAGCGAGAATAGCAAAACATATGATTCTATAGAAAAAAACAAGCCCATTGGAATAAGGAAAATGAACTTCCTTTCACAAAGTATTTGTTGAGTGTCAACTACATGCAAGGAGCTATGGAGGGGAATAGATGAACCTCACAGAGCCTCTGCTCTCAGCAGTTTGTCATCTAAAGGAGAGTTGCCTGGACTGCGAGGCAAAACAGCGAGGTTGAACTACATAGAGGACTGCAGGGGAGGGAGCCGGTTACCTGGTGCTCAGGTCATCCCCAGGGGACTTGGTGTTTCAACTGCAGGGAGGAGAGCGTGATGGAATCAGTCAATATTTCAGACTGGCCAGAATTTAGAATTTCGGGGAGGAGTAATGAGAGACAGGCCAAGATGTGTGGCTTAGCTTTCAGTCCCAAGCGATGTGCAACTTCCAAGGGTTTTTGAGCAGGACATGTCTGATATGAGGTTAATATAATAAGAGGACCTTTTACTTACCACCCTATGTGTACTAAAGTCAGAGTGTTTCTACAGGGTTGATCAATTCCCCATTTTACAGCCGGAAATTGAGGCTTAGAGAGGTTAGTAATTTCCCCAGGGGAACCCAAATATAGTAGACTCAACATTTAAAAAAATGCCTTTCTTGTTCTAAAACCCATATATTCCTCCCCCCACCCCACCCCCACACTATGATACTTTGTTCTAGAATGATGGCCAGAAAAAAAATAAAAATGAAAGTGAAGGACTTCACTGCTTAGCAGAGAGGAGGAGGAAGTGAGGGAAGAGCTGGGGAAGACAAACCTCTGAGAGTGTGACACTCCTAGTCCTGGCAGCCTTGGGTCACGCAGCAGGAGACCTGACCTAGTCCACGATCAGGGAAGACTGAAGAGGGTGGTTTATGCTGAGACCCTGGTTAGGCTGAGAGGAAAACAGTGTTCCAGGAGAGAGATTTATCACCAACAAGATAAAGTCTCCAGCCCTTTGCCAGACCCTTACGGATCTGGCCCCTGCCTGCCAGCCCCACCCTCTCGTCTCCAGCCAAGGCCTACTCCACCAATACCAAACCACTTGGGTTTCCTGACGGGGCCTTCATCTCCCGAGTGTCCCTATCTCTGCACATGCAGTTTCCTCTGCTCAGTTGGCCCTGGTCCCTTTCCTTACACCCCCCAAAAGTCAGTTTTAGGGTTATTTCCCCCAAATGTCCACAGGACCTCCAATCTCACTGCAGGACTGTTGATGCCCCCACACTCAACAAGCTGCAAACGGGACCTTTTCACAAAGGTATTCCCAGCCCTCAGCACAGTGAATGAATGGTTGGATGGGTGGATGGATGGAAGAACAAATAAATAGATAGTAGGGGTTGACAAGAGATAAAGACAGGGCTGCCTCTCTGTGTAATGTGATACTTGAAGCTAAGGAAGTGGGTGAGATCTCAGAAGAGACTAGATGCCTAAGAGAACAGAAAAAAAAAATCGCGCACTTCCTTTTAAAATGCAGCACCGATAAAACAAACTCTGACCATGTCTGGTTCATATGTATGTGCATATGGACCAGATTAGGAAGGGGAACATTTAAAAGTAAAAATACTAGTTGTGTTGAAATAAAGCAACTGTGGCTGGAAAAAAAAAATCTTCAACATTTGTTACATTTTCTTTCCGATTAAAAAATTCTTTCCTACAGACACAGATTCAGAAACTCGAGAGAAAGCTGCCCAAGATCATTTTGTGCAGAGAAAATAAAACACCCTAGAGGCAGTAGGATTTCGTGTGTGTAGTCGATGTTAAAATAGCAAAAAGAAATTGGAGCAAGAGGCCAAGTTGTGAAGGAGAAGTCACCCTGGTGTGAAAACCTGTTGTAACTTTAGCAAAACTTACTAATAACAAACTGCCACATCAGTTACTGCTACTGCGGAATGCACAAATTAATCACCAACAAGTCTCTTTTTGGGTGGGGTCGTTGGGGTTTACGGTTTTTAGTCACGGGAAAGGGTTTCTCACTTTGCTTCCTGCGAGTTGTAGTGCTGCCCCCTGCCGGTGAGAACTTGGTACTGCCATGGCATTTACTGAACCATGAAAGCCCACAAAACGCAAGCTTGTCTGACCCCCGCCCCCGCTCGCCCTTGGGGGCGGCCTCAGGACCATCTCAGGCACAGCCTCTAGAGCCCGTATTTCTGAGCTTCTCCCTAGTGGGGAAGAACCAGACAGCCAGTGACAACATAAACATGGTCATTTGAAATTCTCCCACCTACTCAGTTGATCTTGGAAGTTTTTGTCTTAGAATCTCCTTTGCTCCAGCTGCAAGCCAGCACTTCAGACACCTGTCAGGCTTTGAGGGTGACCTCTAAGGCGGAGTTCACCGATGGGACTCCAAGTCCCGTGACTTCCCTTCCTCTACCTCCCCACTCCATTTTCATCACCTGATCAGGCCCACACCACCATCCCTCCCAGGGGCTGCCCACTGATCATCTTGCCCCCCTCCCCCAAGTCATTATCTACATTGCAGCCAGAGTAGATTTTCTAAAATACAAATAGAAACAGAAAGGCACAGATAAGCTTCCAAGTCCTTAGCATGCCCCGTATGGCCCTCTGTGGCTGGCCCCTGCTGGCAACTCTGCCTCAGTGTTTACCCACGTCCCTTTGAACTCTTGTCTCCACTCTTCTGAATAACTTGCAGTTTCCTGCATAACTACAATTCTCTTACCTCCACGTTTTTGCATGAACTTCTCCCAGGCTGGAATGCCTCCTCTACTTGACTTCTCCCTGGCTTGTGTCTGTCTTCCAACTCTCAATTCAGATGCCACCTCCACCAGGAAGCCTCCCCTGATGCTCAGGTCCCCCCAGCGTGTTCTCATGGCACCCTCAACAACTCCAATGTCACCGTTTTCATAAGACCTTACCTAGGCCATACATGTCCTTCTCCCCTTAGACTGTAAGTTCCTCAAGGACAAAGACCCTGTCCTGTTTTCGTGGGCCCCCACACCTCACCTAGTGCCTGGCAAGAAATGGCAGCTAAATGACAGGCTGGCCTAAGGCATGTTAGGAGGATAGAAAGAGCATTCAAGAAAACTCAGTGGAAAGGTAAGGGAGACAAAGAACAGGTGGAAAAAGCTGGAAAGAGAAATGGGGGGAGAAAAGAAAAGAGGAAGGAAAAACAGAAAAGAAGGAGCATGTCTGACAGAGAGACGGGGCTCCCTCACCTTCCTCGGCTATTACTAAGAGACCTTAACACTGGCGTGTCCTGTCTTCCAAAATATCAATCAGCCTCCATTTTTCAGTTGTAATTGTTTTCTTGTCTACCTCCTTTCTATACTCTCGTCCCCTGACTCTTTTGCTCTCTTTGCTCATTCCCCAAATCAGCTTGATCAAACATTATTCATTTATTCAACTAATTTTTATGGAACACAGGGTGCAAGGTTTAGAACTAGGGATGATGGCGAATAAGTAGAAAGATAAAATTTCAACAAGTCAGTGTCCCTAAGAACTTTATCGACAACAGTGGTGATGAAGCCTGACTCCAATGTGATTACAGCAGAACAAGTGTTCTGAGTACTGGCACTCATGTCGGGGGCTTCAGGAGAGAGAGATAACCTGAGAATGGGTGACCCAGGAAGCCTTCATGGAAGAGGTGGTGTCTGAGTCATCTGGAAAAATAGATAGCATCCTAATAGGTAGAACCAAATGGAGTTCCCTTTAGACCAAACAACAAGTTTTTAAAGTGGAGAAAGGAGCCAATACTTCTCTCATGTAGCATTTTCTACATTTTCAAGCACAAGAGAATCACTTGGGGCCTGTTTAAAATACAAGCTCCAGTGTTCCAGAGATATTCAACTCATTAGGACTGGGAAGGACCCAGAAACATGCATTGAAAATAAGCTGCTGCAGGTAGTTCTTAGGCTGGTCAACTTTGGACCAGACTTTGAGTGACAATGACTGTTGAATATTAGAGACATATGGATTCTGGAATCTTCCCAGTGTGTCCTAGGTTACTGGAATCAGACCGTGAACTGCTGTG